AATCATCGTTTTATCTAGTGAACATATTTTCCCGGTCCCTTGAAAAATACTCGATAAGTTGAATAAAATCATGGTCGTTTATGGAAGATGGACGTAGTTCCCGGAGGTCACCCGCCCCCCGCGCGCCAGGATCTCTTGATCCCTCTGATTGGTCGGTGGGAACTTGGACTGACCGGCCGGACGGGGGCAGACCTAAGCCTATCTCCGTCGCAAGGTGGCGCTGCTTGCGAGTTAAAGCTACAAATCTGCAAATAACTCTATGGATATTAAAGATATTCAAGAAATTATTTTTCGTAAACCTTTCCGGGGATATGCCTAATAATATCCCAAATTTTCACGGCGATTGGATGTATGGTTTTTGAATCCATAGAGGACACACACACACACACACACACAGACATTCAATTTTATATATATAGATTATCTTATAAGTGTGAAAGAGTTGAATAAGACGAGAATAAGTTCAAATTATTTAAATGATGTAAGAAGGGAGTGTTTCTTTTGCTTAATTTAACATTTAAACATGGTATAGGAACATCTATAAACACCATCTACATGTTATACATGTTTATCATATTGCAAAATTTTCACGCATCGTGTTTCCAATCATCGCTGTATTGTTCTGAGGTTTATATCATACTTATAATTCACTAATGGACAAAACTTAAGGAAGTTGTACCTTTTAACCATGTATATCTGAATTTCAGACGATAACTGAAGATATTTGATACAAAGTGACCTTTATTGAAAACACGCGAGATAAGTAGAAAATTTAGGCCTCTGTGTTCGTAAAATGAACAGACAACCGGCTAAATCAAAGACTTTCTTCTTCCTTTAGTTTTACCCATGAGTGTATATTTGCTTGAAAAATACACTTGAAACTCTATATGAGAGACGTCTTTAAAAAAAACGATTTAGTCGCTTTCTTATTGAGGTATTCTTTAACTTGAGATTCAGTTTGTGTTGAAAGTCTCCTTATGACTTAGCCTGACCTAACAAGAGTTTCTGATGAGAGGCCACCACTAGGAGAGACCGTGCTTAGCCATGTCTTTAAGCCATAATCTCTCATAAACATCAATTCACCGTTTAACATTTCTATACCTTGGTTGAGAGCTATATTTGACTTTGTCCAGATTACCAGTCTATTGGGATTTACCATTACCGCCTGCTCTAAAGTATTTAATCCCTAATCCGGCTCAGCAATTGGTAGAGATTATTTTGGTCACCAGTTCTGATGGAACCTAAGCCTTTCTATACCAGTAGATATTAACTCTAAGTGTGGACCCAGAATTTTAAGATCTCCAGTGGTTAAGGCGAATCCACATTTCTCATATGCCTTAGATATTATGAATTATTATTAATACAAATTGTGATTATATATAATTTATAATATACATACATATAAATATATACTTTTATATACCCTTTATATATAGAGGTACAAATTCCACACGTTTTTATTAATACAAATTGTGATTATATATAATTTATAATATACATACATATAAATATATACTTTTATATACCCTTTATATATAGAGGTACAAATTCCACACGTTTTTATTAATACAAATTGTGATTATATATAATTTATAATATACATACATATAAATATATACCTTTATATACCCTTTATATATAGAGGTACAAATTCCACACGTTTTTATTAATACAAATTGTGATTATATATAATTTATAATATACATACATATAAATATATACTTTTATATACCCTTTATATATAGAGGTACAAATTCCACACGTTTTTATTAATACAAATTGTGATTATATATAATTTATAATATACATACATATAAATATATACTTTTATATACCCTTTATATTAGAGGTACAAATTCCACACGTTTTTATTAATACAAATTGTGATTATATATAATTTATAATATACATACATATAAATATATACTTTTATATACCCTTTATATATAGAGGTACAAATTCCACACGTTTTGTCCAAGAGTGTAGTTAGGTTTTTTTCACAGATAAAAGGTGAATTTATTCGAATTATTGAATATAATTGAGATTCGAAAGGAATATTTTGTTATCAAAAAGAACCCCTTTCCAATCTTTCCTTCATTTATATTAGGTATATTACATTGCAGAAATCATTCAATTCCAATTTCATCAAAGTCTAATGATATTTGGAAATATTGGGAAAGTTTCTGTAATTCTACTACATAATCAATAAAAATAAAAGTATTCCATAATTTCCTTTCAGTTCAAAAGTCATAGTCTGGAAAATTTCAATTTGAAAAGGGGGTATTTCAATTTCTTCAAATTTATTATTTTCGTTCTTTTACACATAAATTAACAATTTGATTTTGAATAACTTTTTCGTTGAAATTATTTTCATGTAGTATAAGTTAGAAAGGTATATATAAAATTATCCCCAATATTAAGATAATATTGCAATATTAATAAGAGGAAAAATGGTTATTAATTTCAGATTACTTGGCAAAGATCCTTACTAAATTGAAAAAGTTGTATATTGCTTTTTGATTGCATTTCAGCTAAATATTAGCTTCCAAATCATCTATTCATTCTTTTTATAATAAATAGTTATGTTGTAATTTTATATAGCAAACATAATGGAAGACAGAAGATGGTTAATATAAAACGTTTTTTATGAGAAATCATAATTAAATATATGAATTTGATAAATTATTCTGAATTTGTTTCTGAACCCATGTAAAAAATATAAATATATTACAAGAGATATCGGCGATAAATTTTAAAACTACATTATAAAATTAGTTATGAGGCAATAACATTCAATATATAATATATATAAGAAATGAGAGTATTAAACCACGAATGTTTATTTTTAAATATGGAACAAACTTTTCTCTACTCTTCTTACTGCGATGGAAAAATATTGTAGAAATGATGGTAGTAGAATTTTGTGCTGAGGAAATATTTTAGATTCGCAGAAGAGAAAGATCCATTATAACTAAAGGTATAAAACAATAAAGAAAGAAAAGAGATCAAATTATATGTACATCAGCAGCTCACGTCGACCTGTCCTATCCAATAACCGCTAGCCTACTACACAACAAAGCTGTGATATATAGACAGATATGTTAATTTACATAGACAATACTGAAATTCTATGTAAATCACATTAGTATTCTATCGTAGAAATATCAGGAATTGTCACTTTCAACAGTTTTTGTTTTATATTTAAAAAGAAACATCCGTGCTTTTATTTCTCTCTCTTATACATTATATAATAATTATATTTAATTATCAGATCATCGAAGCCTTTCATCCTTCCCTTCCTATTTTATTCAATCCTATATATGCAATGAATTGATTGGAAGAATTACAAATGGTCTTGTTAGTTATCAAAGCTGAGACAAATTGTAAGTGGAAGGCTGACTGACTTAGCATCTTCAATTATATATTCAAACATGCGATATCAATAAACAATTACGTCACTACTATAAATATATGTACTGTATATATATTTTTATAAGTAAATTAATATTTTCCAAATATTAAAACAGTTGTTTAAATTGTTTATCTTATCACTTTGACCATTCCAAAAATGTGTCTAAATGATTGGAAACTATCAAAGCGCGCCTAACTGTCAATAATGTGATGTATTTATTCCAAATATACATAGTTGGGTCATTATATTCCCATTAGGTTGTGGGGTGAACCGCTTATACTGTAAGTGAATCATATATGCCATATATATGTATATATATATAGTACAGATATTACACTTATAAGGTAGAATAGCTTGTTGGTTGTTTCCACCCACTGATTGATATGAACTTCGATTATATTCAGCGTCATTTACACAATTTAGTATTTTTAAAACTGCCTTAACCCGGCTGTAGAACCTATATCGTGGCTTTCTTAACTTGGCAGTCTTTTATGTCCATGTTGCTAACCCATATTTAAAATATATACTTAATATTTTTATGTTATCTAAAGAGTACACAAAGCAATAACGCGCCATCTATACATAAAAAATAAAAGGATTTAAAATCACGAACGCTTTTTTATACATAATACAAACCTATACTGTCTTTACTGCGATGGAAAAATATATATATATTGGGAGGGCTTGGCTCATCAGTGGTGAACCCTCCCAGCGGTTTCGCCAATTTAATCCACCAGACCGCTTCTCAGAGCTCTAATACTGTATTGGACGATTCTGCTTATATACGCAGCACTGAAGGATGGAATCTCAGAAATGATTTTCGATAAATCTATGAGCATAAGCTTATAGCACAGTAGAATTACATTCAAATATTTGCATCGAGCAATGCTTTTCCGTAAACAATAAGGACAAGGGCAGTTAGGCATAAATTAACACAAAGCAATAACGCGCCATCTATACATATAAAATAAAAGAATTTAAAAGCACGAATGTTTTTTTTTTATACTTAATACAAACTTCTGCTGTCCTTACTGCGATTAAAAAGTAGACGAGGTACAGGCCACGATAATCATGGTGGTTTTATAATGACTGCTTTTACTGCAAGCGTACCAAACATACGCAGATGTATGAAACAGGTAAACCTTTGCACATATAAGTGGGTCAATAACCTGTTCGGTTACTTGAACTGGCGGGGTTTAACCTATATTAGAATCGGAGTTGAAGCAATTCTTTCTTGATAAAAAAGTGTAAATTGCATGATTTAATCTCGGGTCGAAGCTTATGAAAATAAATGTCTTGAACCTCTCCTACGCCTCTATGTTTAATAAGGTTGAATTTAATATGTAGGTTTATATGTGGTAACCTATCATCATCAGGTGCAATAGCACCATTTTAGTTACTTATATATTTCAGTTACTGACTACACTCAACAATCTTCTACTTGTAGAACGACATTTGAAAATGATCCCGCATGTGTTTCTTTTGAACGAAAAATCGAAATTTATTTAAGGAGAAATAACGATTTTTTCTAACCTTATGAAGTATGGAAGGATGAATTGTGAAGAGTAATGATAAACGTAAAAATAAAAGTGTCCTGGGATAGGAATCGAACTCACAGTGTTCCGTTTACCAGGCAGATGCCATGTCCACTAGGCTAAAGAAACCATAGTCTTCATGTGGATGCTTCTCAGTTTTCCAAAGCTGATGTTGTGGCTTTGTCATCCACCTTAGGCGCTAGTTTGCGGAGACGATTAATAGATGACGCTGATAGTTTTAGCATTCATTTTGACGGGAGAGTCAGCCTTTAATTTTATAGTTAAATTTCTTCTCGCGTAATTTCTATCTATATTTAATAATATATATATATATATATATTCAGAAAATATTCTTAGATTGTATATTCATCATTTATTATTCCAATATATTTAGAGAGACAACGTGTCATTTTCATAAAGAATATTTGTGATTTGAAACAAAAGATATGAACACAGGTCTCACTTTGCGAGATCAACATAGCAACAATCTCTTATTTGAATATTATACACATTTTACCCATAATTAGATTCATTCTACACGATTTCATACATATTTGCTTCTCTAAAATTAAATATTTATATAATAAAAAGGGATATATTGGATTGAATAAAATATTTATTTGCCCATATTTCGGTTTGGCTTAAGGCCAAACTTTGTCACGGCAATACATTTTTGTTTATTATGTATAGTTTAGAAAGAGGGGATCATATATCGCCGCAACTCTTTTTTATTAACGCGATTAAAGGAAGCTTTCGGGCAAGCCCTTCTACAGCTAACTATAGTACACTATAGTTAGCTGTAGAAGGGCTTGCCCGAAAGCTTCCTTTAATCGCGTTAATAAAAAAGAGTTGCGGCGATATATGATCCCCTCTTTCTAAATTGTCGAAATCCGCAATCCGTTCACCATGTATAGTTTGTATATAACATTTATATTTGTACAAAGGTCTATGTTAAACCAACCGAAATATTGGCAAATATATATTCATTTAATCCAATATATGTCTTTTATTATCGAGAGAAATACAATATGTTAACATTATTATCATATCTATAAATATATAATAAACAGTGTTGATAATATATAATTTTATAAATAATTGAAATATTAATGTGTATGCTATAAATATCAAAATATTTAATTTGAATACATATTCATAAAATTATTGAGAATATATAATTAGGCATATAAACACAAATATTTAGGGAAATTCCTTTTTTATATTTATTCTTCTTTTATCTTCTGCATATATCTTACAAATATATTGTTATTATGAATAATAAATAATAAACAAAATGGCCTCCGAGGAAGATTTTCTTGTTTGTTCTTGTTGTTGTTTATTTATATGGGGGTCGGTGGAAGGAAACCGTTGGTTTTAGACCGCTACGACCCGGGTTTGATTCCCGCATTGAGCACCTTTTTCTGATTTAAAAACGCTCTAATGACCCCCGATTTTTGCAAAGGTCTAGTTCCACCAGCGAGTGCAAGTAACCAAACAGTGTTCTGTCACATTTGTAAGTGAAAGGTCGAACTGCTTTTCACATGTGTAGACATGTGGTGCACTTACAGTAAAATCAGTCGCCAACTTCTACCTACCATGATTATCATGGCCTGTACCACGTGTATTAGAGATAAGCAAATATATATTTATATGTGTGTTTCAGAGTATTTTCCTTCCGGATTATTATAATCAATCTACACAAAATATATAAAGATATAGAAATTGTGATACATAAATATTTTCATCAGTCTCTTATTTGTGTATATGTGTTATAATTAACATAATATAAGGAAAATGTTAATTATTGAACATTAACAATGACTTATTATATATATTTCTAGAATCATTTTAGTTAAAATCATCATATATTTTCCATAGTTTGATCTCCTGAGGTTCTCTAGCTGTAAATAATCATTTGACGTTTTGTGACGACCGAATGATATTGGCAAATCCTTTTATTTACATATAATACATATTTAAATATCCATATATCAATTTTCTCTATTATTTTAATTATAATTATACAGAATTATAATAATTAATTATAATTATTAATTATAGGAGTAGATGTACATAGAGACTACACAAATGAATCTAATCTACAAAGCGATTAGTTCGCTGCTTGGAAACAATTGGAAGTATTCCAAATCGAAGTGGTGTTTGGGAATATTTGAAACTGTTCCAAGAATCTGGGACGACCGCTGCGGTGGCAGGAACTCCCAATAATTGAAGCTGACAGCAACTTTGGACTAAATGATTTATGAATTGCAAGAAATATTATTTCTTTTATCATAGAACATTTTTTATTATTTATTGTCTGGGACAATGGGTCAATAATACTGTCTATCTATCATCATCATGATGAGATATATCATCACCTATATAGAGTTATCATTGAACGGTTCCTCTGATAAATCTCTTCAGAGATTTCTGTTTGGTCTACAACTTTATATATCTTGATGTTTAATATTATCAAACGATATTTAATTATACCGATGAACACGGTTGTTTTGTACGCTGGTAATTTCTGTTTCGGGCTGTTAGTGTATCTAATCTTAATATTTCGATATAAAAATATATCCGAAATTATGATATTCGGCATTTTAAAGTAAAATTATTTTCAGTTAATTCATCTTTACAGCTTTGTATAATTGAATGTTTTATATTGTCTTTTTAAAAATAAAACTACAACCTTTCGCAATGAGTTTCTTTTATTATGATAATATCATAATAAAAGAAACTCATTGCGAAAGGTTGTAGTTTTATTTTTAAAATTTGTAGCGCAATTTTTTCGTTTACTTCATATATTTTCTTTACCAAAAGAGGCACGATTCCTTTAAAAATTCATTATTTTGTTTATCATCCATCCAGTCGAGAACGTATTAGTGTTGATAGAAATGCGCCACAAATCCAACTTTGGTAAATTGAGACATTCATTAAATTGAATTCCCTATTTTCAAAATCTGGTGTCGTAGCACATACCTTCTTTACTGAGGTAAGAGAACAAAATTAAACCTTTAAAAGGAGATAGACGTATTTTTGCAAATGGATACCATTCTTCGATAATACCTTACTTTTGATGTTTAATTTAAATGTTTAATTAAAAAGGCATATATTGTTGGCATTTTAATGTTGGTGAAATAAATGATATTTTGATCCAATATATACCTTTTTATTCAAATTTACAATTATGTGTCGAGCATATAATCATAGAAAAGGAAAATACCACCAAAATATCAACCACATATGTTTTAGAAACAAACAGAAATTATGAATACGATAATATAATTGGAATGGATGTGTCATTTGAATGTTAATACAATTATCCAATAATTTCACAATATATATATAATGTGTGAAAAATGTTTGTGAAACACATCTATTGTTAATTTTATTCCAGATATGGCAATTAGAACAAATGTTGTATGAATATATAAATATTTTATTAAATTAAATTATAAAACATATTGAATTTATGAATTGATTAAATTGCTCTTCAAAGTATAATTAGATTTCTTCAAACTGATCAGTGAATTAAGTGATGGAGTATTATATTGATTTACGTGAGGCAATTTAGTTTAATTTAATTAAGTTAATTAATCTTTACTTTTTTAAATTTAGGATGCCACTATAATTAATAGTTTGTTCAAATTTATTGTCTATGAGTCAAGCAATTTGTGTAAATGTGTTTAGTAATTTAAAAATCGTTTTTTTTTTAACTCAATATTCAAAAAAACTCACACTGGGATTATACTAAAATATATTTTCCATTAGAAATTTATGCTGCAAATTTAATTTTTGGAAAAGCTTTTTGTAATCTATTTGAATTTTATGAAAGTGAATTTTTTGTTTATTGTCAAGCGGTAATTCATGTTTTTTTTTTTTTTATCTAAGATATATTCCATTTAATTCGTTATATAATATATGAATTAAATTTTCCATACTTTTTATAGCAGTAATACTTATTTTCAGATTAGACCATCAAAATATACTTCTGCAAACATCTCTTACATAGTTGATAGCACATATCTCATGGACTTATCTCATCAGCGAAAAATCAAAATCTGCCTTTTCAATCCATACATTGATGTGATGAGCCAATCACACATCTAATCTATGATCACTCATGTTAAAAACATAACTTTTTAATGATTTATTCGAAAAAGAAAGCATCAATTTCAATAAATGAGAAATTTATTCGATAAATGGCATTAGAAAAATAAACAATCAAATATATACAGCCCATCCTCCAATAAGAGACCGACCAAAACATAAATTTCCCTAGTCGCTCGTTGGAGGTTGAATCAACTCAATTTTGACACAGTAAATGCTTATCAGAAGGGGCATTCGTAGAAGTTCAAATTCTACCAGAATTTTTATTGTAATAAAATATATCGATTTAATGCAATACTGTCACCAAATTCGATACATCCTACTTTGTAAATACATTGTTTTAATGTATTTTCAAAGAAAGAGGTAAAATAATTGGTACCTAAATATCAACCACCGCACATGTGACTTATTATTTTTTACTTAATAATGGATAACTATTGGAAATATAACTATTTCAAACAATTAAGACAAGGTTCACTCTCTATAAATATAAATAATATATAACTCAATTGAGTAATAAGAAAAAAAAACAAGACTGAAGTGTTATTCCATATTTATAAATATTCAAATCTACGTTTTTTCATCTAATTTAACCGGATTTATTCTATTTTTTTCTAATAAATAAAATAATTATTTTCAATAGAATTTTTTCTATAGATAACCTTTTATTGATTAATTTTATATTTCAATCAAATTCTAAAATAAAAAAATATTTTTTAATTCTCTTTTTTTGAATTTCCATTTTTTAGTATTCTCTCTCTCTCAAAATAAATGAATAAAATTTTATAAAAATTTACCAAATTTAAATTGGTTCCACCATTGAATATAAATATATAGTGTAATCAATATTCAACTTGAATGTATTTCCATTTTTTCCTCGGTTGTAAGATTCAGCATTTTAATAAAAGTGTTGGAAAAACAAACTTTTAAAAAATAATTTAATTTTCGAAAAAGACTGATAGGGGATATCAATTGATTTCTTACCAACCCTCCATTTTTTTTATCTTTTTGGAAAG